TCATCATCTGCTCACTATACGTCTCCACCGAGGGACTCGGAACCTACCCTAAGTTAAGGGTGATTAGGCCATAGTCACCCACGCTGGCCAAGTGCGGGTTGGTTGACTTCACACATATCTTTGAATTTCTTCTCAGATATGTGCATCACGGTGTTTTGCTTCACCGTAAGAAAGTCGGATAAATGTACATATGTAAATCGGAAATCGAAAAACAAATTGGTACATGACGGGATTCGAAACCAGAACCTGCAGATTGCAAGTCAAGTGCTTGACCCCTGAGCCACCGACGCTCTCAAGTAATTAAGTATTCATGTCGATCTTGGGGTTTATTGAGTTGGTCGTTAAATATCACCGTATTAAATAACTTCGGGTTATTCAAGGTCAAGGACTTACTTGTGGAAATAATAAGCATATTAACCTTAAACTTCACGTCTTGTTAATGGTAATGAGGTTTTTAAATTACTGAATTTACTTGCAATACAGTAAAAAATGTCCTTTGGCTTTACTTAAAAGTTCAGAAATCAACCATAATAATCGTGAGATACTTACAAAAACCACTACCGTCTATCAGTTCTGTCTCGCTTTTTCTATTCGAATAAAAGAGAGATAACACTACAATAATACAACATAATTCTTTGTTTTTCCTTTTATATAGTTAAAGAGAGGCTATGGAGTTTTATGTATACAATTAAAAAAAATTACCACTAATTTATTAGTATTAGTGACATGAAATATGATACGTGTAGAACGCGTCTATTGGACCGCGCCGGACGCACCGAACGCACAGTCCGCGACGGATTTTAGTTTGTTTTGTATGATTTTACATAACGCTGCATCCAAATCCATTTAATCATTGCATGCTGTGAGTTCGTCGCGGGCCAATGGATGCGTACCTTTATGTTTAATATCCGTTATCTTCAAGTACAAAGGTTTGAAATATTTCCTTTGGGTTTTTCGGTTTCAATGACAGGCAGGCAATCTGTTATATTTGGGTTTTAAGATATGATTTTTTAATTGTACACACTGTAATAGCGTATTTTTAGTGAGGAAAAAGTGAAGTATGTTTCAAGTACAATTTAAGATGTCTTATCGTGAATCTCAAAGGGACAAAATAAGGTAATGAACAGATAAAGTATACTATATTGCAGCACTGAATTGTTTTCTATTGCCTCCGTTTAATGACGACTACACACAAACAAATCTGTATTAAATTTTTATATGCTGAATTCACAGAATTATATTTTATCTTACATGACCGACATAAAATGTGCAAACTTTTTTAATATTTAATTTTAAATTGTCATAACTTAAAGGATTTCATAAAATATTTAAAAAATATTTTAGACACTAATATTTATATGAATATTTCCAAAATGAATGAAAAGATTACTGTCGACGATTATATTCGATGTTTTAAAATTATTTTTTACGTAAATTATTGGGTTTGGTATCTTTTCTAAGGGCCTCTACGCACTAATTGATCGAAAGCGGTCGCCGCACTCACACTGTCGTGAAACCGCCTCACGCCCGCAAAAATCCCCGTTTCGAATCAGCTCGATGAGTAGGGGCCCTTATTTTATTTATATACTACTTAATTTGTTTGGTGGTTCGTTTATTGGTAAATAATTTTACGACAAATTATTTGTGTTTTAATTCTACTTTATAAAGGTTAGTCACAAAATTTTATAAAATTAATAAAAAAATATGAAACATCGCTGCCTTTTTTTTCTTTTCCTTTATTGACAGATCAAGCTCGAACTAAGGTTATAAAACATAACCATCTAAGCCGCTAAGCGAGAGGTTGCAATTGCGGTCATGTCTATAAATACGTAAAATCTGCATACATATGCATAGAAAATGGTATAAAAGAAAAACCGACATCTCTTTATTATGTTCAAAGGAAAAGAACATTGTGAAGCTTTATTGTTATTGACAGGAGGGCGTTAGAGAACAATCATAATAATTGTTTAAGAGAAGGGGGCAAACGAGCAGCCGAAACACAAAGGTCATTGACGCCCATGGAAAGCTGCAATATCAGAAGAACCGCAGATGCGTTGCCGGCCTTAGTTTATTTAATTTGTCTTGTCCCCATTGGATCAGAAGACTAACTCTCTATGTAACAGTAATTTTGTAAATTAGCCAATTTAGAAAGTTTCTAGAAATTAATTACTGCTTCCTATTTGTAAAGCTTGGGATGCAGGATGGATTGCAGTGCACTAATCTACACAGAATTTTAATGTGCGGCCAATTTTTTTGGCTTCAAATTATATCACCAACTTTAACCTTAATCTTTTACCTTCAACATTAACCTTTTATGTAAGTGCTGGATAACTGTTTTTTTATATATTCATTAAATGATTCCTTTTTTTTGAAGAGGTTTTCTGTAACTACACAAGTGAGCATTAAGAATAGATGATACGAAATCAACAACTAATTTAGTCGGTGAGATTTACTAAAAAAATGATATAAATGATTCAAGCTTTTTTTTTAAATTATCGGGTGAAAGTTCGTATCTAGATTTTTTAAACTACATAGATATGAGACCTAGGGACTTGAAATTTTGCAGAGAGATTTCTGTTACTACATGAATGATCAAAATAAAAGATTTTCATAAAAACTCACCCCTAAAGTAAAGGTCTAAAGTGAGGGGTCAAAGTTCGTATGGTAAGACGGTATTAATAGGCTGATTTACTTTCAAAATTGACATAAACGTCAAAATTTATTAAAATCAGTATTTCTGTACAGATTATTTTAAGTTTGTTGATTGCTAATTAAGTATAGTAGGCGTTTAGTTTTGAAAATACAAGGTAGCAAATGAGCAAGTAGATATATGAATTCGCTGAATTAGCAAGGTGATGGCTGGCATAGATATTCGAATAATAAAACCAGTTGTGTTTTTTAAAGAACTAAATTAATTTTAGACCGGCACAGATAATATAAAACGATGTATACAATATGTCACCCAACGAAATCTATAGATGTCGCTACTAATATTTACTTTAAAAAAATCAACAATCCGAAAAATGCGTTGCCTAAAAAAGGATCTTTTATATTGCTGCGGTTTTCCAGCACCAAAACCATCTCACCTTCTCAGCCTTAACTTTAAAAAAATGGATTAAAATTTAGCCTCAAGCACGCACATCCATAAGTCGAAACTCGGAATTACTTCCCCCTTCACGCCTGTCTTCTGTGTGGTCGCGGTGTTTCAACGCGCGAGTGGGCAATTTGGCCAAATTCTGTTCAGGAGTTTACCCGGAACAAATAAGATTAGCAGACTAACAAAAATTTAGTTTTACGTTATAAAATGATGATCGAGAAAAAGTTTTATTTCTATATAACATGCAGACGCTCAAATTGTATTGATTGTTTAAATATGCAAACGAGGTGAAGTATAATTCAATTCCACGTTGACTTTATTTTTAAAAATAAATGTGTTTTAGTAAAAACATAAAAAAAACTGATGTCTCAAAATAAAACCTTTGAATAAAAAGAGCCAACAAATGACACTCGTATGAATAATAACTGGCTGCTTAACAATCATATTAATATTACAAATGCGAATTGGATGGATGGATGGTTGTTAGAAGGTATTTCCAGAACGGCTGCATGGATCTCGATGACATTTGACATAGACGTAGAACATAGTCTGGAAGAACACATAGACTACTTAAGTTTTTTTTTTAATTCCGATTTTTTTTAGTTCAGAGTCACCAGCGACAGCTAGTATTAATATAAAAAAATCTGTGTTTCACTCGTTTTGTGTATTACTATCTTTATCTGGTTTAAGACCATGAAATGTATGGTAATATATATTAATCTTACTTCTTACTAATATTATAAATGCGAATGTTTAGAGGGATGGATTTTTTTAGAAGGTTTATGCAGAACGGCTTAAAGGATCTCGATAAAATTTGCCACAGATGTAGAGCATAGTCTAGAAGGTACACATAGGACTAAGTTATTTTTTATTTTACGCAATCGATGTCACGGGAAAAAGTAAGTATAATATAATAAACAGGCCAGTGTCATTTTAGCAGTCATTGTTATGAATAATTTTGATGATTAACTAATTATTATTAGTCTAATAACGTCTAGGATAATTAAATGTTTCCAATAAATTAATTATATTTAACATTTGTCTATGCTATTAACAAATGAGTTCGCACTAAAGTATATTTATCGTCTTTTTCATTCATTTTTTTTAATTTCTTTTAATGGCAAACAAGCTCTCGCTTAAAGAGGAGGGGATGAATATATTGCCAATATAAGCACTTTACACATTATTTGAATATTTAAACCAGAGATAAACTAAGGAAAATGGTTACTTCTAAGTGGCTTATGCGGTTAACGAGACATTGCAGCAGCTGGTGAGTCAAATTATATTAACGTCTCACGTTATTTCGTATCTACACTTAACAATTATATCCAGAATATACTAAGACCTCATTCGTACATGCGGTTTTTTATCGCGAGTTTATTTTTAATCGCGTTAAAATAAAACTATTACATTTCCATGTACTTTAAGACATTATTAGTTTTCAATACCAAGTCAAGTGTCAGATTGATAAGTGAGGGGACATAAATATTGATATTTCAATAAGGCTAGTGTTGCGCCGATACACCGGCACAGTGTCGGATTTTCTTCCTAACAGTAACTCTTACGGAATAGATTTTAAAAAGCGACACTTTTTCAATCACGCAGTGCTGCATTTAGAGTACTGGGCGAACGTAACAAAAGTGATTTTAAAGAGTTCGTCGCTCAAGAGTCGCGAACGCGGAGTTGTAACGTAGCGTTTAAAAAGCGCCAGTGCGATTGAGGGCTAAATATTATTTAGTCCAACTTAAAAATAGTGTAGTTTGTATTTATAAATTTATCAATTCTGTTATTGAAAATTTAATTACTGTAATTGACCTTTAAAATTTTTATTTAAATTGTTTATATCAGCTCGAATTATGAGTTCATGAGTTTTTAAAAGACGTGAGCAGACGAAAAAAAAGGAATAGACGTATTGAGAACCTTCTTCTGTTTTTGTCAAGGTAGCTAACAGAGTTCTAGAATGTTACAACTTATTTGTATACTTTTAAAGTTAAAAAGATCGAACCACGGATACCTGGGTGCAAATTAAGGATGAAAACAAATGAAGTATAGATACCAAAAAGACGATGAGTCGTTTAATGTTAATTTATCGTCCCCCTTGTACATAAACAACCTTAACAGTAAAGGAACTCCAGATACGTTCCGGGCCTTAAAACAAACGTGTGTTTGAAAGAAAGACTACATATATAACTCTTATGTTAATATCTGCATGTAAACTTTAGGAGTATAGCACAACGGCAGATTCAACGGACGCAGACATGGGTTTCACAACAAACGTTTGCAGAATACCAGCAATCATTACCGATCATCTTAGACAAGGGTCTGGCTGACTTCAACTTTAGTCCGGAATTATGTGACAGATTAAAAAAGGTAATATAATAAAATAATGTTTACGATAATGGCATTTATTTTTATCAAAAACACAAACCCAAAGGGTTTATCATTTTTTATTTACGAAGCGACTTTTGATGTATTAGTCAAAAATAAACCATTTTAACAAGTTCAATTTATTCTTTGAGTATATACTCTAAGCAATTTTTTTATAAGGTGACAAATGCGAGACATGAAATCGCTGAGATAACGAAGCGACCGTTGCACATAGACATACGCAATTACAGATACGTTACCTACCTATAATCGACGGTGGAGGGGATGCACAGAAAGTGATTTCCCTTGACATACATCGCATCCGAAGTCTCCACTTCCAATTCCCATCCTTTACTTATAAGATAAAGGGTGGGAAGGGAAAGAGGATTAGAATGCACGAAATATAATAAAAAGTATCCATTTGTTTATAACTTGTTGTTAATTTTAGTTCACAGCTTACAATGTGGGGTCGGGGAAGCAAATTCGAGGTCTATTGACAATGGCAGCTTGTGAAGCACTTATGCAGCCGGAACAGAATGAAGAATTACGTGAAAAAATGTACGTTTTGGCGTGGGCTGCAGAAATGGTAATGCCTTAAAACATTTATTTTATGGTATTCTTACATTCAAATATTAATGTTGTCTTAATATAAAGTTAATCATAACTTCCCACGTGCCGGTTTCGTAGCCTCCTTCGACTTTAACTTGCATGTTCGTAATTGTCACAAAATCCGTGCCAAGATGGCCATGCCAGCTTTAGGCATGCCAATAAGCATTTACATATGCCTGTAGCTGGCATGCAAGTGCATCGTGATCCAGTCACTTGCATGCAAGTGTGTTTGCACCTAGGAATGTGTTAGCGGGTTAATTTTTGAAACTTTAACATTGACGTAACGCGACATTGGCGTTCGTGTGCAAAATTTTGTTTCACATACGTCCACGGTCAGATAAGTTTGTCGATCTCTACTTAAGCATTTTATTTCATATATTTTTCAGTTACATGCCTTTTTTTTGGTAACTGACGATATGGAAGATGGTGCTAAGACCCGCCACGGGCAGACATGCTGGCATCTTTTGCCTGACGTAGGCAAGTACGCGGTCACTGACACTGGGATGTTCCGCAGCTTTTTGAGTGAAATATTAAGGGTATACTTTGGAAAAGAAGCCGTTTATCCCAAACTTGTGAATATATTTAATGAGGTAATTTTATTTTACTTTAAATTTTCTTTCTTTAATCAGATACCGATAAGTTATAGTTACCCGCTAAAGTATGAAAATATATCTTACAAGTTAAGAAATTATGAAATACTAGCCGTCGCCCGCTACTCCGTCCGCGCGTAATTAAAAACATTATAAGTAGCCTATGTGTTCTTCCAGATGTTCTACATGTATGCCAAAATTCATTAAAATCCGTTCAGCCGTTCCGGAGATACCTTCAAACATCTATCCATCCATCTATCCAAACATTCGCAATTATTATATTAGTTAGACTATGCTTTCATTCGTCAAACGCGAGATAGAGTCAAAGATAACAATATTTTATTAAAAGTAATTCTCTATTTAATGCAAGAATTCTAAGTTAATTCTTTATTATACAACTAACAAATGGGTAATATATTCCTAGCACGTTGTTTGTTTTTAACAAAGTATTATTAATTTAACTGTTTTTTCAGACCTATTTCAAGACACATATTGGACAATTTATCGATTCTACATTGTGTTCGAACAGACAATATTTGAGTTTTACAACGGAACAATATGCCCTAGTCTCTGCATATAAGACATCATTCTATACCTTCCAATTTCCTGTTCTATTGGGTCTTGCTTTGAACAATAAGTATAGTGATAAAGCTTACAAGATCGTGGAATCTATAGGTTCTGACGTTGGATTACTGTTACAAATGAAGGTAAGGTTAAAGCAAATATAGATTGAGGTATAGGGAGAGACAGAGAGGCTAGATATAACAAACAGACTACATACATGTACAGTCAGCTGCATAAATAAGTATTCAGTTGAAAAAATTTAGAAACTTGCATTAATTCATCTATAACATATTAATATGAGAGCGTCGGTTGAATGTTGAATGGAACTTCAACGGACAAGCAGAAAAACAAATTGAAATTTATATGTTTATATGATAACATTATTAAATTAATCAAACTTTCGTGAGATTGCAATAAACTTATATAAAAACGGCTAAACACTCACGTATATTCGTTAGTCTATGCTTTCATTGGTTAATTGCGAAATATAGTCATCTGGCCGCCAACCTTCACGCGTCAAAGAGGCCACAAAAAGAAGAATATATGAGAGTTATTTAATAGTTTAGTATTTCTCTATTTAAAAAATATAAGTTTATTGATAATATGTTTTTCTCGCAAGTAATATTAAGCTTTTAATTTCATTGTAAATTTAATTGCATTCTATTGTAAGTACTAACTTGACGCCATTTCTGAATGTTCAAAGGTCTGCATAAAACCGATCAAACTTTTCCGGTAATATTAATATTTTTTACAGAATGACTATTTAGATTTATATGGTGATGAGATAGTTGAAGGAAAGACTGGCACCGATATCCAAGAGGGCAAATGTTCATTGCCCGCCGTAACAGCTGTAAAACTCTCCAATGAACACCAGAAGAATATATTCTTTGAAAACTACGGGAGATGGGAAGACAAATGTGTGAACGAAATAAGAATTCTATACAATGATTTACAACTAAAAAAGATCTGTGTTGATGAAGAGAAGAAACTCTACAATTCTATTTCTAAGCGAATTAATAATTTACCAAAAGATTCTATACCGCCTGCTCATTTATTTGCGAAGTTAGTAAATGAAATTTATAATTTAAAAAATATTAATTACGATATAAAACCATAATTTGTGTTCCGGAGGCCTAATAGTTCACGTTCCCTTCCCACCCTTTTCTTATAAATGATGGGAAAGGGAAGTGGATTTGGCAGAAAAACAACTGAATCAAATTTTATATAATATTATGTTTGAAGTCCGAGTCGATTTATTCACTTAAATCGATGCTTTTAAGCAGCCTCACTATCAAGCTAAAATTTATAGAATTCGAGTGACACATTAAACGTGAGTTTCTGAGACCTAAATTCCTATATAAAACATATTGTTATCTCTTTTTTGTCAACGATAATGATAGGGATGAAGATATGTTTTGTACAGAGATTGGGGTCTAAGAAACCAACGGCATGGTATTACATAACAAAATCTTTCTGGGGACACGTGTTTTTTATCGCCTTGTAACGGTTTTGTTATATCTCTCAAGTTGGCAGTCAATGTTAACGTCATAGTACAATGTATGGGCGTTGTGTAAGTAATCCATGTGACTTAGTTTCTTATAATTAAGTCCAATTCGTGCAATGTACGATTCCACGAAGTCGTAATCAAGATATAGCCACGACAGTTACATATAAGGGCAAATAAAATGTATAAATTATATCACCGAATAAAATATATTACTGCTATTAGAATGTTACTTTGTGTAGAGACTTTTGCGATTGCCTTTTACATATAAATATACTAGCTGTTGCCCGCGACTCCCTCCGCGTGGATATATAAAAACATATATATATATATATATATATATATATATATATATATATATATATATAAATATATATATAAAAGGATATAATTAGTGTAGCCCACCCATCCATCCATTCACATCACATCCATCTAAACATTCGCATTTATAATATTAGTAAGTTAAATAAAAAACAACTCTTCAAGGCATAAATTTCGAAAAAAAAAATGAATAAATAGTATCCTATGTCCGTCTCCTGGCTCTAAGCTACTTCCTCATCAATTTTAAGGCATATCGGTAAAGCCGTTCTTGTGTTATAAATAGTGTAACTAACACGACTTTATATATAAATATATATAATAAATATTATAAAATAAGACACATTTCGGCGAATTCAATCGCTCGATCGTTTGACATTTTTTGACGTAAAAAAAAAATGTGACGGAAAAAGGAAATGTCTTTGACTACATTTTACTAAATATATAATAAACAAGACAATTGTATCGCCACTAGGTAACGTTTTTTGTGTACTTGGTCGGAATAATTGTTGATTTTTTGTTATAATATAATGAAACGGTATTTCCTTGGTTAGTATTAAAACTTATAATGTAATATATTCATATTTATCTATTTAATGTAAATAGGTATACATATTGGGAAAATATTACATAATTACACACACACGCACAATAAAAATTAATTAATTAATGATTCATTTTGATGAAAGTAACTTTTAAAATAATCATGCCAATGAATAATAAAAGAAATAGAAATTTTAAAATAAATACACAATTATTCTTTAAATAAAAAGTATAATAAATAACAAGATTTTATTTTATTTTCAAATAGACGCGACAAAAAGAAAAAAGTATATCCTACTTTTCAAAAAATATATCCTGTTTTTGTTTTTGTATGTATTTAGATAGAAACCATAGAAATAAATCAAAAAGAAAATTGTACTTATATAAAAATTACATAAATATATTTTTATTTTTTACATAAGAAAGCTATAATGCTTATTTGGTTTTGTCTTTCTTTATATGTCTCTAATACTTTTGTGTAAAGAAAAAATGGCCGTTATCAAATTATTACTTTCAATCTTCCTATCTTATCTTACTAATACTATACTATACTCATTCTAATATTTATAAATACGAATATTTAGATGTTTGTGAACGGATGTCGATGTAATTTTTGCATACATAAAGAACATTGTCGGGAAGAACACAAACTACTTATTATTATTAGGTTAATTCCGCGCGGACGACGTCGCGGGCGACACCTATTGCTATAAATTAAACTTTACAATAATTCCGCAACCTTTAAGGCCTCTTCTATGGCAGTTGAATACTGCCGAAGTTGTTACGAACAAAAAATCTTACTAATCTGATTAATATTATAAATGTGAAAGGCTAGATGGATGGATGGATGTTTGTCAGAAGGTTTCTCCGGAATGATTCAACGGATTTTGATGAAATTTTGCATACATATAGAACATTGTCTGGAACAACACATAGGCTACTTTTTTCCAGAGGGGAATGCTTTATGCATACTCCGCGCCCCGGGGGGGACGTGGTAGTTATGTGGGATTCTCTTCCGGATGGGAAGCATACCCACTAAACCTCTCTGTTCCTCCTACGAATCATGGCGAAGACACGGGCATGCTTGCGCTTTCGACCGCGACCTCGCCTGAGTTACCTGCCGAAGCAGCTTCCACTATGGGGGAGGGCCTACCTTCAGCCTCAGGCGTTGGATCCTGACATATAGGCTACAAAATTTTATTTTTAATTCCGCGCGGACGGAGTCTCGGGCAAAAGCTAGTTTTATATAAAAACCAAAATTTAATCAAAACTTGCTGTAGACTATTGGTTCATTGTCAATATGAGCGGAGTCATAATAATTTTAAATTACTGAACTCAACTCGGACAACTAGTTTCTTATAAGAGGAAGTTTCGTGCGAAATGTTTATTTGTGGTTGTGTATTCGTGATTGTTGTTGCCTTTGATTATATCTTTTAATTAATTTTCATAAAAATGTTGTTTCTGAATATTATCAAACATTGTAGATGTTACAGTACTTCGTAAGTATATTTAATTTGAAAATTAATTATTTAATTTATATTTTTCAATCTAAATTCATAATAAAATTCTAATCTTGATAAAGACTTTAAACATTTTAAATGTTTCTATTTCTTCTAAATTATTATTGTATTTTAATATTTTCCCCGTGAGCAAGACTTCTAAAGAACACTCAATCTTACTAATATTAATAAATGCGACTGTTAAGATCAGTGGTTCCCAAACTTATTTTGTCTACTGCCCACTTTGAGAATAAATATTTTTTAGCGCCCCCATATTTTCACATATTTAAAAACCACTATAACTTTAAATTAAATTAATTAATTATTGTGACCTATATAAGTATATTAATGGAGAATTCTAAACGAAACTTTTACTATAACCCGCAACTTGAGTACTGCAGCGCCCACTTTGGGAAAGACTGGTTTAGATGGATGGATGGATGTTTGTTTGAAGGTTTTCCCCGCGGACGGAGTCGCGTTTGATATGTAGTAATCATAATAAAACACTCAAAGTATATATAAATATGTATATAATATAAAAAGGAACTTTGATGTTTTAATTAAGAAATGTTTTTTCAGAGTCAGCACTATATGTAAACAATCTGATATTTTAACCAACTTAAACAATGAATTTCCATATTATCTACCAAAAATTATTAAAACATCTCTTACCAAGAAAAAATACGCAGATAATATAGAGATCAAGGAACGAATTAAGAATGTAAGAAATTGTTTAAAATACTTCAATACACATTTAGTTATTTTATAATAAAAGGTGACAAACGAGAAAGCGAACACCTGATTACGAAACAATAGCGAAGTGACCAATACCAATAAAAATCTGCGCCATGTTAAAATGTAGCAGATGCTTTGACTATTTTAAAGGACAAAGGGGGCTTGTATAAATAATGAGGACATTTCCCTTCCACGAGAACCCTCCACCAAACCCTTCTTATCTTTTACTCATAAGATATAGTGGGAAAGGAAATTAAGCAAGCTAATAAATTGACTATTATTAATCGATTAGATTATCATCATCATCAAACTGACCTTGACAGAGGTAACAGAGGGAAAGCACAGCATGTACTAATCATCCATACATCTTTATCACCCATCAAATCTGAATTTACACCCTTATACATATCCTCTTTCACAATCCATCTATTACATTATGTCTTCTGTTTGTTTCTCTTATTTATGGTACATGACTTGATAAGAAAAAAAGATTGGATTACGTCTGTAAGTATTTTTTTAAGGCGAAAATAAGAAAATAGTTGATTGGTTATGGTGAGCCCATTAGAAAAAAAAGTGTTAACACGACTATAGATGCTCTTGTAGTTTTAAGAAAAACCTAATTATTATAGTTTTTTCTACTTCTATTGAATACATAATGTAACGAACAACAGTCAGAGTTCAAAATTCGCCACAGGTCTGCGAATTACAATCTCAGGTAACCCTGTTAACCCATCCCCTTCCCTGTACATGCTAAAAAGAGAAAGCCGCGGTCAATATTTCACCCGAAGCGCTTCATGGCAATCGTTATCTCGTGAAACCCTTCTAAATCTTCCATTCTTTAAAAAAATCCGGCTCAACAAATTATTACCTCATATCTTACTAATATTACATAAGCGAATGTTTTGATGGATGGATGTTTGTTTAAAGGTATCACCAGAACAACTGAACGGTTCTTGATGAAATTTGTCATACATGTAGATCATAGTCTGGAAGAATATATAGGCTACTAATAACGCATTTTTTTTAATCTGCGTGGTCGGAGTTGCAGGCGATAGCTAGTCAGTGATAAACCAATATAAGTAACCTGGCAGGTCTTTATGATGGAATGAAGATTTGATCAAGGTCACCGGAATGGATGTCTGCAAGACTGTCTAATGTCTTCAGTTACACGTGTATAAAACAATTTGTTATCACTGTCTTTTTGAAACAGAATGAAAGAGATGACGATATTTCTTTGTTTTGTTGTTGTTAGTAACTTTGTAGTATTAATATTTTTAATTTCAGCTATCTGAGTATCACACTCTTGCCAGAGAACCTATACAGGGCAGACTTACATTTCTTGCTTTCGATGCGCTTGCCGAATCCAAAGATTTGACAGAGGAGAAATTACATCAAGTACAAGTTTTAGCATGGGCTGTTGAATTGGTAATACAATTTGTCTTTTGTCTTTTATCATACATCCTTCATAATCACACAATATATATCTAACATCGTACGAATATTATAAATGTGAAAGCTTAAATAGATGAATGGATATTTGTTAGAAGGTATCTCCAGATTGCCATAACAGATCTTAGCGAAATGTGACACAGATATCGAACACAGTCTGGAAGAACATGAAAAGTTTGAAATCAGTCAACATTAATTTGGACATTAACCATCCTAGCACGAAAAGCGAGGAATTATTTAAGCGTCTCTAATTGAGCGTAAAGTACAACGACAAATCTCATATAAATTATGACATAAATTATCGTCAACGTTACGAAAACGTATAGCGCAAATATTCGTGATAGACCCTTAGAAACATGCATGCGTGCTTTGCCAAACACGACGAGTTCGGTCCCGCGGCACAACCACCCTTAGACTGCGTGTTGCAAGAGTTGGCGTAATATTGCAAATAGTTAAAATGGCACTTACCAACTCGATGCTCCGTCCACCGCCTGCAGCAGCCTGGTCACTTTGTCGGTGTCAATCGAGTCACGTAAATCACAATCAAATTGTCTAAAGGTGCCAGCGCTGCCCTGCTGATGCACCCGATGCACCACTTCGCGCTATAAACGCGTCGCAGTCGGACCGAACACGAAAACGTAAACATAGCGATCCTGTACGCTATAAAATCGACACGACTTTCAACTCGTACCGACCCACTGCCTCCCCTCCACAAGCCCGCTCAGACCCCGCGCCCGACCGTAGCGGTGAGGGATTTTAAACTACCCACTTTTGCGGGGAGAATAAAAATGAGTCGAGCTACCTACGTTAAAACGCGTATACCGAAAACTTAAAATCCATAATGTATCTGTACCGAATACGTGCTAAATTAAGTTTTCTGTACCATACCGATCCGATATTAATTCTTAATGTAAATACCATAAAAATTACTTGTTTCAGATACAATCATATTTCCTTATCGGAGATGACATGGAAGACAGTTCTGAGACTCGTTGTGGTAAGCCTACATGGCATTAATTGCCAGATGTCGGCTTATTAGCAATAAACGACGCAAGCTTGTTGCGTAGTTTTATCTACGAAATGATCAAAAATAACTTTGATCGGAATACATCAACGAAGATGGAAAATATTGTTAACGAGGTATGCTTTACAACGGTCAAATCAATGTAAAATGTAAAAATATTTAGTTTAATTTAGGGGACCGAAGAGCTGACTACCGCGGACAAAGAATTAGTATTAATATTCAAAGGGGGAACGCTGCCAGTAACTTCGGAGCCTTGCTTAAAGGGACACCTTTAAATAATATAATATATTTTAGTTAATTATTCGTTTTTTAATATTTCATTTAATATAAAAGATTTAGTTTATTTTCTAAACTTGTTGTTTATATTTTTAGCTACATATTTAATTTGAATCTTTGATTCTAATTAAGGAATTTCCTGATAGTTACAACTACTACTGTTGCTGTTTTTCAATCCATTGCTAACTTTAAATGTCGTTAAATGTAAAGTTTACTTTAATAATTTGAACCTCTTATTGTTATTTACTATTTCCTTTTGAATTTCAGGCATTCTTCACGATAAATATTGGCCAATACATGGATATTATGATGTCAAAATCTAAAGATTTAAACAAGTTTACTGTGGAACAGTATAATATTTTAAACGATCACAAATCATCATTTTACACTGTAAAATTACCGATACTCCTGGCTTTAGAACTCTGCAACAAAGTTAATCAAGATTCATACGAGAATATAGAAAAAATCTGCACGGACTTAGGTATACTTCTACAAATGCAGGTAATATTATATTCAAGGTATTCCTTTAATCATTATTCATTGTTATTTACCTCTATTGAGGTAAATAATATATTAATTATTCATTTTAAATCACGATACGATCGTGAACAAAGTTAATGTTTGAAATAGGCATTTTTTTTTCGCGAGCAAAAGATTTTCTATTCAAATAACCAACAGTTAATTTAAAAAAAACCACCCGACTGACTAGACATCAAATGTACAAAACAGCGCCATCTATTGGTTGCGTTTTAGAACATTTTTAACATCGTAAACAGAGATTTTGAATTAAAAAAATGTGGCGACTGAAATATGAACTCGTTCCTTTTTCAATTTTTTTTTAATTTTACCTTCCACATAACCTGTATGTGTTTTGTACAAATGTAATATACCCTATGACATTCCGGAGAAGAAGAAAAATCGAATGTAAATTTACTTGGTAAAATCCGTTCAGTCGTTTGGGCTCTATAGTGTGTCTATTTACGATAGATTAGTTTGACAATTCAATTGACAATTTGCTAGATATGGTTTGAGTAAAATCGATTAAGAATTTTTTTCGATTTTCGATGGTTGTTCTCATAGAACTTGCAATCGAAAATTTCGGGCTTATTGATTTTGAATTACAGTATAAATAAATTTGTTTCTTTCTATTCCTACTTAATCCTTCATAACGACATAAAGAAATAAGAGATTAAAGCAAAAATTGCGGTATTGACGCATAAAAAGGATTTCTTTACGATATGCGATACATACCCAAACAACTGAAATAAATTCAAAAAGTTATAAAAAACCTAAATTATAGTACCCATTTGTTCGATTAATTTTATTAAAAGACCGATTTACGATAGTTTAAAGTTTTGCGGTGTGCGCGACGGTTCGACACTGACAACCGTCCATTAAGTGCACAATTAATACTCATACAAAATTAATTCGACATTTAATAGGCGTCAATTGTCAAACTGATCTATTTTAAATAGACACACTATACGCCGTCACAATTTCGTTAAGTTGGCAAATAAAATGATAGATAAGTAACAAAATCATGTGGCGATCCAATGAAGTAGATAATGACTATTAATTTAATAGCATTATACAAATTCATGACACTGTTCTCTAAATACACGGTTACAAAGATAAGAGTTCTTCATTATAGTATAAGTACCCAATAAATAGTATAAAATTATATACAGTAATATAATTCTAAAATCTTAATAACCATTTTTTATATAGTACTAGCGGACCAGACAGACGTTGTCCTGTCTACACGTCTTTAATTTGAAAATTTCAAACTTAGTGCCGTCTGTCGGATCCAATGTAAAACATTCCAAAATCAACAACTACTAATAAATTAAAAATTAATTAAAAAAACATTGTCCAGCGGACAAAATTGTGAATCTAAACCATTCCCAGATCCCCTTGAACACACACAAAAAATTTCATCAAAATCGGTCCAGTCGTTTGAGAGAAGTTCAGTGACATACACACTCACAGAAGAATTATATATATAAAGATGAGGCAGCAAACACGCCAGCTGTCACCTAAATACGATATAACGAAGTGACCACTGGCCATGTTCAACGACATTTGCATATGCGTTGCCTACCTTTAAACCCAAGCACAAAAATATAATAATTTCCCTTTTTATGCATCCCCTCTTCCGTTAAATCCAATTCCCCATCCATCATTTCCTGACAAGAAAAGGGTGGGAAGGAAAGGGAGATTAAAATTAATCCGGCGCGCACACTTATCACACAAATTTGCTTTCACTTTACACCTGTCTTGTGTTTGGTCGTGATATTTTACCTTAGCAGCCAGCCCATTCGTGCAACAGATTTTGCTGGCTCTACAACTTATAAACCGATATTGTTTTAATCATAAAATTATATAGTGTTTAGTTAATATTTACGTTTTTTTTGCAGAACGATGTAATGGACTACATTGATCGAGATTCTTCGGCAGTTAAAACGAGTTCTGATATTCAGAAGAATAAGTGTTCTTGGCCTGCGGTGGCGGCTTTACAACATTTAAATGTAGAACAACGAAGAGAATTCATGACCTGTTACGGACGATGGGAAAACGAGAAAGTTGAACGTGTAAGGGAGTTTTACAAAGAAATTAATTTACCACATCTTTATCGTCTTGAAGAACAGAAGATAAGTGCAGCAGTTTTACAGAAGATTAAAAAATTACCCAATAATACGACACCGTCTGCTGATTTCTTTTACAAAATTTTTGATTTTGTACGTCAATATACTGAAGATATTTCGCCTTCGAAATTAAAATCGAATATTTTAATGAGCGCTATTTAAGATAAATAGTAAAAGAAGCAGAATATTTAACATATTTATTAATTTCTTTTTTTAAATCTTTTCTTAATTGTTAAATAATAACAATATTAAAAATATAAAAAAACACTAGAGTCCTAACTTGGTAGCGCCCCTATCAGGCGGACGCATGGATGGATGAATGATTGGTAGGATAGATAGACGTTTGTTAGAAGGTATCTCCGGAACGGCCTTACGAATCTTGATGGTATTTGGCACAGACGTAGAACAAACTCTGGAAGAACACACAGAACATTAAGTTTTTTTTAATCCGCGCGGACGGTGTCGGGGGTGATAGCTAGTTATATAATAGGTCTACCGGAAAGTTCTGTCCGCTCCGGTTTCAATCAGTTTCAACAAGTGTACGCATATTCCCGTGATACATATTTGGTAGATCACCTATGAAAACATCATAAGAAAAAGGGCATATTGTGAACCCGGAAAACCTGCCCCCTTTACCTCTAAGCCGAAGTTGAGCCTGAAAAAGAGAATGTTGTGCATATGGTGGGACATTCGAGGACCAATTTGAGCTGTTGAAACCAAACGAAAGGCTAAATTCGGAGAGGTCCTGTCAGTAATTGGATAAATTAAAAACAGCACTCCAAGAAAAGAGGCCGGCGATGTTCAATAGGAAGGACATCATACTGCTTCATGATAATGCCAGGCCACATGCTGCTTTGGGGGAAGTCGCAGTGCTAGGCTGGGAAATTCTGTCGCATCCACCATACTCCCCGGACCTAGCATCATCTGATTATCACTTGTTTCTGTCCTTACAAAATTTCTTGCAGGGCAAACAATTCAAGAATGAAGAAATATCAGACAAGCACTGGTTCAATTTTTGGCCTCTAGAGATAAGACATTTTTTAAATATACAAATTGCCGTCACGCTGGCAAGAAGTCATATATAATGATGACAATTATATTATTCAATAAAGTTTATCCAAAGATTGCAAAAATGTATTCCGTTGTTTCATTCTAAAACGGACAGAACTTTCCGGTAGACCTAATATATTCAGGAAAAACATTAGCCGCTATTATCTCTACTGAACTACGCAGATTTAATTAGACATATTTTTACCATCACATAGAAAATGTTCAAATTCCTAATTTTTAAAACGACCATTGTTAACCTATTTCAAAATAGATCAAAAAATATCTATTACAAATTAAGAGAAGTGACATAATTGCCGCGTGATTGTTAGAAATTAGTTGGTTTTTTTTATAATGTGTACTTTGAACTAACTAAACATTGATAAACTCGATAAACTTTATAACGACGATTAGAACTCACCTAAAAGACCCTCTCAGTTTTGATTTAATGTTCATGATATAAGAGTGTCGGTGGCTCAGAAGTCAAGCACTTGACTTACAATCTGCAGGTCCTAGGTTCGAATCCCGCCATGTACCAATGTGTCTTTCGATTTCCGATTTGCATATGTACATTTATTCGACGTTCTTACGGCGAAGAAAAACATCGTGATGCAACCTGCACATATCTGAGAATAAATTAAAAGATATGTGTGAAGTCAACCAACCCGCACTTAGCCAGCGTGGTTGACTATGGCCTAGTCACCGCTCACTTAGGGTAGGCTCCGTGACCCTCGGTGGAGACGTGTAGTAAGCTGATGATGATATCACAATTAACCTTTTTTAGAAATAATATAACAAGTGCTAATTGAGTTTGTACTAAACTTTACAACAAACTTTTAATGAATATAAAACATTCAATTATATGTCTATATACGGTTATCGCTTTTGTATAAGCTTGCCAAAATTATTTCTAACTCAAACTTTGTTTTAGACCTGGTTTATATTATTCTAGTCCAATAACCCAGTAACGCTGAACTAGCATGGACTGTTTTGACGATAGATTTTACATTATTCCAGTCAAGTTAAAGCTGTCAAATCATTCAAAGGTACAGTACAGTGAAAATGAGTTCAGGAAAGCTGTTGAAATTACTTTTTAAAAATGTATAGCCCGTAATAACATATTTTGTTGGAATTAGCTGGCTCGACCGGTGTATAATACCACGACCACACAGAAGACAGGCGTCAAGTGGAAGTCACTGCATATTTCGTGTTATGAGTGTACGTGCCGGAACCCTAACTCTAGTCCTCTTTCATGAAAGTGGAGGGGACGCATAGGAAGACCGAGCTCTCACCGATAGGGTTAATATTATAGCCCTGAGGTGGGACATCGGTTCTAGTATTCTGGTTCGGAGTATTCTGAAGAATTGTTTGGAATTCCTGCAGCCGAGTCTCTTTATCCGACGACATGACTGACGGCCAGATACCATACACACCACCTGAATGGCTTGCAGTGTGGTGTTCGCGAAATTTCCTGCCACGCACGACCGTGTTGTGGAACGTTGGTTCTCCAGTATGACTTTAAGAAAAGTTCGTAAGCGTAACTCATTGCAACATTCTTTGTAAATTTTCCCTGTTTCTTATTAATGTTTTTTTACGTGTTATTTCTTTATAATTATTTTTGTGCTATTTTTGCTTATTGTGTTGTGATATTGAAATGTTATTTTTTTTAACTCTTTCTCAAAGGTCGGCAATAAAACTGCAGCAATTCTGGTGTTGTGGATGATGAACACCGTACTATATAATATTAAAATCAACGAATTTTACAATTAGCCAATAATAATCGAATAATGAATTACTGATAAACTGATTTTATTTCATATATTTATGTCATATCAATTACGCGCGAGGTTCCGTATTAATTATTTCTACTTGATTTTACCATTTTACTGATAGAAGAGTATTTTGCTTTTAATTCTATGTATTTTATTTATCATCTTTCTATAAAATTTCAAAAATTTCGTATTCTCCCTGTCCTTATTTTACTTATCTTAACTAATATTATAAATCCAATTGTTTAGATGGATGTTTGTTTGAAAGTATCTCCAGGACGACTTCATGGATCTTGATGAAATTTGGCATACATATAGAACATAGTCTGTTACAACACATAGACTACTAATTATGTTATTTTTTTACTCCGCGTGGACTTAGTCACGGGCGACATATAGTAGTTTATAAACATTTCGAATCAAACTCGGATCTCTATTTTACTCATGGACTTGAGTAACGTGATATGGTATTTAAATAAAAACAAGTTTCATGTTTGATTTACTTCTGTTTTAACAATTGAGGTAAAAACACCACATACAGTTAGAAATAAAGTGGATTTGTCAAACACATCATAATGTTACCAGTAAGATTAATATCAAAATTTTCTCGCACTTGTGCAACTTGGTGAGTATTAGTGGAAATTATAAAGAAAATATATTAAAGAATACTTATTTTTTTTACGTTAAAACAATATTTCTTAGTTTCTGAGACCAATTTTACTGTATAAAATATATCGTATTCCCTCTAATTAAACGAAATGCGTATAATATTTTTATGCAGGAATTATGGTCTTAAAAACCAATGATCAATGCAGTGGATTTCTTGAGATTGGTCTGTAAAAAAATGTTTTTAGAGTTTTTATGTGTACACGTAAAAAATTGCAACTATTAATAAATTAAGGGAAAAGGGTATTTTGTTTTTTTGTTAATAACTCAAAAATTATAAATATTCAAGTAATTAAAAAAATATATCAAAACAGAACGAATTCTCGACAAAAAAGTCCCGACACCCAGAACTCCTTAGCCTTCGTTACCGCAAATTAAAAAAAAAATTATGGTCACTCATATTAATTTAAAAATAAAAAAATTACGATTGTCTACACATCGGAAGGAATAAATTGCTGTTGGAAATATTTTTAAGTCAATTATTCAAAAGTTTTACTATTGTTTATTAATCAATATTTCCTATTTCCATTTTCAAAAATAATTTATAACAATTATTATAGTTTTCATAAATAACGTCTGAATAATATTAATACTACAATTAATTAATTATAATATTAATATGCGTAATTTTATTGGCATCGTGGAGCTGGCCTTAACATTAATGTATACATACATAACAGTCCCCATGATAAAACTAATTGAACGTTCATAATTTTTTACTAATGTTTTTCTAGTAATATTTAAACATTTTTCCGTTTTTATATCTAATAATATCAGTAATTAGTACTAATTAAAAATACGTCATTCCTTTGTCAGTTATTTACAAATTGAATTAAATAAATATCCTATCAAACGTTCATTAATTTAATTATACAGTGACGTTAAGGGCCTTTAATAAAAGAGGCCACATCTCGCTTAACGACCGGTAAAGCATTTGTGGTTCCACCGATCCACCAGTCCAAGGGCATCGGATCAATCAATATTAGACGATTCGTGGCTCGTTAATCCTTTAATCCTATATTAAAAAAAGCTCTCCGTAAAATTTACTAATTCATTTATTTACATATTTTTGTTATTCATTTCATAAAATTACATAAAAAAGGCACACCAACGGTTTCGGAATCCCATGACTAAAGCAACCAGTGGTCAGGGCTGCAGAGCCCTCGACAGAGAGGAACCTCGCCTAAAGAGCCTCGCCTTTTATACAGGGCACTTAATTCAACTGTTTGAGTATTAAATTGTTAAAACAATAAAAGTATGTCATACTAACAAGATGTATTTGCATTGTTAATAATGGAAATCCAATTTCTAAAGCTTTTGTCTGACTTGTTTGTCTGTAAAACCGCAAGTGCCGGTGTGACCGACTATTTTTTTACTCGGCGCTAACGAAGTCGCTGGCAATCGCTAGTCTAGTAATAATACTTCATGGTTATCCAGTTTTTTTTGCTATAAAGCATTGAATTGCATTTGTCCTGAACGTCTTATTGCGTCACAAAGGGCAGTTTAATAGACACATAAACTCGTAATGTAAATGTGTAATGGAAAAATTTATGCACACTCTAATTCATTGTTTTACAATTGTGGCATCTAACGTATTTAAATCGTACCAGATTTTTTTAAATTATTATTCGTGAAGATAGTGTACTGTAAAATTAACAAAGTCGCCATCACTTTCCTGTCCATATCTCACACTATTTGGGGTCTTCGTACTAAGATTTTATCCTTCAGATCGGTCTTATTATTCTCATTTAAGTTATCAATCTCTTCTCGAGTCATATTTTGGTGTATATCTGAGTCTTGTATTAATTCTCTAACCTGTTGTCATGACATTCATCTTTTCGCTAAAATAAATATATTAATTACATTCCTTATTTTATTACAGGTCTAAAACACAGAATCAAGCCTTGCAAAAAGAAAAATTACTATCCCGAAAGTTTTTTGATGACTTTCCAAAATTTTTACCTGTATTGTTAGATACTACTTTATCAAAAACAAAAATAATTGAAAACGCATCAGTAAGAAATCGTATTAAACGGGTAAACAAACTTTATTTAATCCATAACTAATAATTTTTTACAGATTCTTATTTGGTTATGAAAGTTATGGATACTTAACCTGACGTTAACCAAATTAAAGTTCATATAGGTGTTGCCAGCAGTAGGTTTTCTTATGTCATCTGTCAATTTTTTATACGAAATACGGTTATTACACATTACTCCGCCACGGGCTCAGTCTTTCGCTCGCCTCGCAATACTAGCCGCCATATTTTTAACCTTAACTGTCTGCATTCCGCTGCCCAAAAACATGTTGACATCTCTGTCATTGTCATTGGAAACAAATGAAACTACTATATGTTTCTGTAGATGTGTTTCGGTAGTGAGAACTCTTAGTAAGACACCAACAGATACAATGCAACCCGTACTAAAATTGATTCATTTACATTGGCACGCTGTGAGACAGTCGGAATTCTGATGTAGGTATGCATATGTATAAAATTCTCGTGTCACAATGTTCTCCGAAACCGATTTTCAGAACTGCTGTGTTTGCACATAAAATTTCACGAATATCGGCTACTATTATATCTTAATCCCGCGCGAACGTGGTCGCGGGCGACAGCAAGTATTGTATAAATATTTGCTTACGTGACCGCCTTGACTTAATTATTCTCTTGATTCACTAAAGGGAAAACAGCATTAGAATGCAAACCTCGATAATTATGTGAAGTCATATGTCAAGCAGTAAGTAATGACATTGTATAAAAGGTCAAGTATTATTTTCTAGATAGCTGAATACAACACCCTTGAGAAAAAACCCGTTGAAGCCGAACTGATGTTAATTGCCTATGAAATGTTAGAGAAGAATAGAAATGAAAGTGTGGAGTTTCAACATCAAGCTTATGTTATAGGTTCAGCTCTTGAAATGGTAAGAACATACAAAGTAACTACAAAGATTATTGTGATGTTAAAAATACGAATGATCTTAGTAAGAGAGACATTTATTTCTACTTCAAGAGGAACATCTTTGTAAAACATACAGTAAAGGAAAGGACGTTCCTACAGTTAAGGAAAACATTGTGACGCAACCTTCACACATACCATATATGGCAAATAATGGGCCTGCGTAGTTGACTATGGCCTAGTAATACACGTAACTTAATCCCAGTTCCAAGCCCTTTAGTTGGGACGGATAGAGAGCTGAAGATGACGATGATGATGATGTTAAATATTTATAGAATTTTGAAATTAATTTTTCAGATTCAATCATACTTTATAATATTAGACGATATGCAAGACGGTGGTAAGATCAGATGCAACAAGCCATGTTGGCATCTACTCCCGGACGTTGGCATGACAGCGGTGAACGATGCCAGCTTATTAAGAAGCTTCATAACAGATGTTGTCAGACAAAATGTACCCCAACCTTTATTTTCACAAGTTATGCATATTTTTGACACGGTAAGTAAAAAGTTTGAATGTAAAAATTAATGATTCAGACCATACAAAACTGATTCGGGAGCCCGCTACCCAAGTTCCCTATTACATGTTGCCACTAAATCACTTCGATATTCCATTTCCTGCTTGCAAATTCCTTATCGCTCTCTCAAGTCTCTATCGAGTTAGTCTGTTTTGCATGAGAGATGTTTCTCTGATGTAAATATTACACCCATATCACACCGCTTCCCATAAGCGTGAATCCGTTAAAAACTACAATAATGTCACCAAAATTTGGTGACATTACACCAACATTTGAAGTTAACAAATCAAAAGATCTACTCCCCTGAGAGCAGACAACACCAAACTAAGTTGATTAACCAACAGTAATTAATAAAAAAAAAGTAATTTGATCCAAATGCAACTGAACATCGTGGATATGATGTACATATAAATTAGTAATTCTGGGGACCAGTAGCCTTTTTAATTTTTGGTATCGCGGGAAATATTCAAAAATATTTATAACACCATTGCCACAGAACACTGCTTTTTGAAGCCAAGGTTATGTAAGATGTCTACTCATTAAAATCCCTAAATGACTTATCTGTCTTTGATAGTCATGATCATCATCAACCTGCCCTTATCCCTACTGAGGGTTCGCACAGTATGTACTCCTCCATACATCTCTATCAGCCGTCATATCTGAATCCTCTTCTAACGCATATCCTCTTTCACACAATCCATCCATACTTTCTGTGGTCATATAACTTTGTAGCCTTCCACATTCAATCTCATCCTCTTTTGTTTATATCATTATTGTCTTTGACTATACATTTATTCGTATTATTTCATAGTATGTTATAGCTAATTAAAAAAGGTGATGATAATTACAGTCAATCGAGTTAACTAGCCATTATCTATTATTAAACCTTATAATACAATAACGCTGGAATAAATTAACACGCGATTTCAAGACTTATATGGCGAACAAGAAATATTTTATCATACAGAAAATGTTTATTATAAATTATGCATTCACGTGTCTTAAGAATATTATCCTGTTGTGCTGATCAGCTGATTGATTAATTGACCAATGGGATTTTTCCCATTCTTTTTTTTTATTTATATAATAAGGAACAAAATGCAAATTTACAATGTGTCTATAAACCCATTGCGTGTTTGTCCAGACACTGGTACTACGCTATGAAATGAAACAGTAGGTAAGTAAGTTTCGTATCTAAAATGATTCGTCAGTTTTTTTCCAGATTTACTATACTTTAGAAATTGGACAACTGATAGATGCACAGTTTGTTAAAGCTAGAAACTACGATGATTTTACAATAGAAAATTTCGACGCCATGAATAAATATAAATCATCGTTCTATTCTGTCAAATCACCGATACTTTTAGCACTTGCGCTATGCAAAAAATTGAATAACGAGTCTTTCGCAATTGTGGATGATTTGGGAACTGATCTTGGAATTCTTATACAGAGTCACGTAAGTTTTTTTTTAAATTTTATGTATATTATTTTGAATAAAATATTAGATTTATGTAAATAATAATAATAACTAAGTAATCTTACTTCTCACTCATATTATAAATGTCATTGTTTCGATAGATGGATGTTTGTTAGAAGGAAGGAATCACGAGAAAGACTGCACGGCTCTCGCTGAAATGTGGCATATACAGCGTGTCCCAAAATTCGATGATAAAACTGTAATGGTGTATAGCATTCTGGCTATACACTATTATCGTTTTATCGTTGAATTTTGGGACACGCTGTATAAAGCCTGGAAGAACACATATTAAGTTTTTTTTTAATTCCTCGCGGACGTGGTAGCTAGCGACAGATAGTATTTTTAGAAATGTAATTATGTACGCCAGTTGTCCAATAGCGATATTTGAACTTAAACCATTAGTCTACTGGCACTTCGAAATTTATTTCATGTAACAAAAATTATACCAGTAGTTATCTGTTGTCGTTATGCAACAGTTGTAGGTTATCATATTGGCCGTATTGCAGCAAAACATTTTTATCTATTATAAGCCCCAATTATATATTTTAAAGACCCAATACCGTCAAAGATAAGTTCAAATGTAACATTTACTTCTGATAGCTTTTGAAACGCAATTATATTATACGCATTTTTTAATTTAAACTGCGCTCGCTAAGTTTTTTCTAATTAAAATTTACTTTATAAATAAGTAATGATTTCTATGTTTCAGAATGATTTGATCGATTACTTGGATGTTGACGAATCAGTAGCGAGTAAATCAGGGCATGACATTCAAAACGGCAAATGTTCTTGGCCAGCCGTTGCCGCCCTCGAATTGTGCAATCCTGAACAAAGAAAAATCTTCAACAAATGCTACGGTAGTTGGGATCCCAAAGATGTGCAGCAAATAAGGAAAATATACGACGATCTATCTTTAGCCGAAGTCTACCGAAAAGAAGAACAAACCCGTTATGATAACTTTCTGCAAAAAGTTTACAGTCTACCAAAGGATTCAACGCCATCTGTCGACTTTTTCTTAGAGATATTTAAAAATTTCCGAGGCTATACCGAAAATGTAAAGAAATATATGCACGAATGATGTTAAACTCTTCTTATATCGAAGGAATTATATTACAGAATAGTTTATTATTCAATTTGTTGCAGTAGTTATCAGAATGGTATTTACAGTGTTGGTATTAACACATTAATATAACGAAGCAAATTCAAAATTATTTTTGTAAAGATTTGTGCGTTAGATTTTAACTTGCGTATTCAAATTACCAAGCATATAAATAAACACAAACGATAACGCCTCTAAAAATACATATTTTTGTTTCGATTTCTCTTGAGTTTCTGAGACCCAAATCCTCGCTTAAAACATATCTCACAAAGATAATGAGGAATGATATGTTTTATACATCAATTTTCATCTCAGAAACCAACGGTAAATGAAACAAACATTTATTTCTAAACTAACCTAATTATAACATGTTTTAAATAACTATAATATTTAGTACATCCCTCATGAAAAGAGAGTTTTGTTTTAGTATTGTTAAAGATTATTTGACTAATAAAAAAAATTCTACATACGTAAAGATAAATAAAAATACGAATGTCAATAGAATTTATTACAATAGCATGTAACCATCCTTTTATTATTATTATTTTATTTTTTGTTTGCAGTATTCTAAAGCTTCTGGTAAATGCACAATAAATGGATAAATTCTCTCAATATAATCATGTAAAAACATCGATGTCGGTGTAGAATCGTACGGTAAGCTGTCAATCTGTTTCGCGATTGTACCTAAACGTGCCTGGTGGTCCTGACAGAATATATCTCGCAATCCGAGAGTATGATATAATTGAAGTATCTGTTCCACATCTTCTATTTTGTCACTGCCGTACCGCGTTAGGAACATTTCTCGCTGGACAGCATTACATCTTTCCAGGGCTGTCACCGCCAACCACGAGCATTTACCCTTCTTTATGTCTATATTTGTTTTTCCAGTTGACAGTTCGTCACACCAATCCAACATATCATTCTAAAATGTGAGTTGTATTTAAAATTAATTTGTTTAAACTCTACTATTAATAAAATTGAAGTGTCTGTATAAAAAAACGTATTTCAAGTAGGTAGTAAGTAGTTTAACAGTGGTAGAGCCCGCTTTAACATCTTCTCACGAATTTACCCGGCTCGTCCGGTGAAATACCACGACCACACAGAAGACAGGCGTGAAGTGGGAGCAATTCCGCATTTCGTCTGATGAGTGTGCGGGCCTAATTTAGTCCTCTTTCCCTTCCCATCCTTTTTCTTATAAGGAAAGGATGGGAATAGGAAGTTTACTTTCCGGATGAGAGGATGCATGGGAAGGAAAAATATTTTCTTTCTGTGCATCCTCTCCTCCGGCGATTAAAGGTAGGCAACGCGTATGCAATTGCGTATGTCTATGGGCAACGGTTACTTCGCTATTTCAGCGATTTCAGGTGGCCGCTCGCTCGTTTGCCACCTTATGATATAAAAAAAGGTACATGATGTATTTGCCTTATTATAACGAAAAGCCAAAATTGAATCCGTCTGTCGTTAAGTTCCCGTTTGTTCCGGGTAATCTTAGTTGATTTGCCGATTTTGATGAAACTTTGACATATAATTGTAACCTACTTTTGACTGACGAAGTCGCAGGCGACCGCTAGTTATAAAAACCGGGTACAAGAACACAATCAGGGGTCGGCACAGAGCAAACAACTACATATAAAATAAGCATTAATATGCAAGGGAGAAAATTTTGGATTCCCATTTAGAACGGTCTTCTAGTTTCACCTCACTCTTATACTTAACCTAACTTCTAGCCTCTATGTATAAGGTTAAAAGCTATATTTGTACAATTTTGAAATAAGAATTTACACTTACGTGCATTTGCACCCAACTTCCGATATGTTTCATTGCATTGTCCACATTTTGAATTGAAGTTTGATTTAGTTTATTGGCCATTGTGAGAGCAACCAATATTGGAAATTTAATTGAATAAAATGTAAATTTACTGTCAGATATTTTAGTATACAGTTGTATATCATACTCTGAAAAGTTTCTGCCTTTTGAAGTTATTGAATCCAAGTACTGGCCGTATTCTGATCTTATGTGAGCCTGAAGACAATATGACTATTTCAAACATTTATATAATTATTACAAAAAAGTAAGTTGCTGTAATAAAAGCCAAAACAACCAATCTTGCTATCTTAATTATATTATATAATAAATGCGAAAGCTTGGAAGTTTGGATGGATGGATGGATATATAGATGGATGTTTTTTAGAAGGTATCTCCAGAACGTTTTTACAAATCTTGAAGAAATTTGGCACAGATGTATAGTCTGGAAAAACACATCGTAGGCTACTTGCCTATTTTTTTTAACTCCTCGTATTGGGAGTCACGGGAAAAAGCTAGTATAAAATGAAATATTAAGTACTTTGACCTCTTGTACGCACCTCGTTGAAGAGTTTACTTATTTTGGTATACATTTCATCGCTTAAATTTTGTCTCAACAATTCGTAAATAAAACTTCTCATCATACTCGTATCGTTCAGAGCCAAATTGCCGACGTTCGGGAGCAAATGCCAGCATGGCTTGCCGTTACGTGTCTTTGCTTCATCTTCTATATCGTCGATGATTAAATAATAGGACTGAAACTATAAAGAAAAATTTATAACGAAACAATGTTCGTCCCCCTCTTTTCTTCGCTAGAAATCAAATTCTACACCAAATTAATTGACACTTGTCTCAACATTACGTGTATTAAAGATAGATATTAAATAAATATTTATTGTTACATTTACTTTTAAATTATTATAAATTCGAAAGTGAAATTATACCATTTCTACACACCAAGCCAGTGTGTTAATTTGATGCCTGGACTCGTCCGTTATAGAGTCATGTTTGAGCGCTTCATAAGCGTACACTGTAAGCTGTCCTTGCACTGACACTCTTTCTAACGTGTGGTATTCGATTGCCTGAAAACAAAACAATATCGTTTTTTTTTAAAACAGAACAGAAGAGTATATTACGAAAGGCGATAAGTTGAAAGGAGGTAAGATCTTTAATCGGCATAAAAGGAGACGCACAGCATGAGGTTATTAACTCTCGCTATCAGTCAAATTCATTTTTCCTTGGTAAGAAAAGGATAGCAATAGGTAGTGAACTCTACGCTTTTGTAGTCGGTGTGTGTAGTTGAGATATTGGAAAGTCCTTTCAGTCCTTGACTATCTATTCTCTGTTAACATTCGTTCAGGCGTTCATATAAGTCAGTCAGCCATTGAGTCACTCAATCATTCACTTTCGTCTTTTACTCCTACATAACACAGATAAGAAATAAAATTGATCAAAAAAGGTTATGGCTGCAGGAGTCTTAAATCCAGGAACGGCAGCTAGATCGACGTAGCGAGGTAAGACAAAGACCGGCGATAAAATAATCAACAAGGTGGTTAAATAAAACTAATAATTGGCGAATGATGTACATAAAACGTCTAAGTTCCTATTATCCAAATAATTGAATTCAGTCCAAGTGACTGTTTACATACAGTTTTTAATTAACACATCGCTTAGCCTTTCAGATAATATTTTGCATCAATCATAAGACATGTAATGACATTCCAAATTAGTTGACAAAATACTTTACCTTCTTTAATCGGTCTTTAATATCTGATGTTGGCAGATAATTTGATGCATCCAATCCGTTTCTTATAATTTTAGGAAATGTATCATAAAATTCGGTGTACGACTTCTGAGATAGAATCAATTTTCTGTTCGTTGCAGGCCTGAAAAAAAAATGGGTACAACTATTCGGCACTACTAGTAACTGTAGCCTATCATACTTGTTTTCGGAGATGTTGCTGTTCATCCTATTAACGGTTTTACAGCTTCATTTAAAGGGTTCTCGGAGGACCTAGAGCTAGAGTAAAATACTAAGTCCTATCGTAAGTTAGGTACGACAAGGCCTTTGTCAACGTTGGGCTTATGCAAATGGGGTGAAAAACTGACTTTTTCTTATAATAGATCGCATTATCGACTCTGCTGAGTACCTAAAATACTGTCTTTTAAATGTTTCTTTTTTATATCATATGGTGGCAAACGAGCGATCGGCCACCTGAAATCGCTGAAATAGCGAAGTGACCGTTGCCCATAGACACACGCAATTACATACGCGTTGCCTACCTCTAATCGACGGAGGAGAGGTTGCACAGAAAGAAAATATTTTCCTCTTCCATGCAATCTCTTATCCGGAAAGTCCACTTCCACTTCCCATCCTTTTCTTATAAGAAATAGGGGGGAAAGGGTAAAAGGAATAAATTAGGAATCTGGGTCGCACACTCATCAGACGAAACGCGGAGTTACTTCCATTTCACTCTGGTCTTCTGTGTGGTCGTGGTATTTCACCGGGCGAGCCGGGCCAATTCGTGCGAAGATGTTAAAGCGGGCTCTACACTATTACTGTTTAATGTAGAATGATCTCTGTCCCGTCTGATGATAAATAAAATAATTAGCTTCATTTTAGAACACTCACCAATTTGCGCAATTACGCGAGATATTTATTAACCATTTACAGGATACCATTTCACTGTTGTTTTTTTATCAAATATAAATATTCTTCAAAAACACACCCCGTACAGTCGGTAACAAACTGTTGCAATGTATGAAATATTAAAACTATTTAATATAATTACTAACACACGACAGCACTTATATACCTATCAGACATTTGCCCCCACTTTACATTAAATAACGTTTGCGCTGAGTTTTGAGATGAATTGCTTCAAAACAACAATTTTAAACATCCTTTTTTTGGGTATTGAACTTTGTATAGAGCATTGAAGGTTTTCAATCATTGCCAAATATCTTGAAAAATGCTCGTAATATGGCACTTAATAGAAGAACGTTAAATATGTACATGAAAGTCGTAAATATAACATTAGGAATTATTTACAAAGAAGTTAGAAATAGTAAACTCATTGTTGTTTATTAATACGGTAAAATATTATAACTTCTTATAATAACATGGTGCACAATTCATTACTTTAAAAGGCTCTTAATACACATGGCAACATTGTTCAAACCTTCATACCATCAAAGATTTATTGTCATAAACCTAATTATGGAAATCAATCTAAATAATCATATAATTTAATGCTGTCTTCATAAAACATATTTTTCAATATAATTTTATTTTAGCATTACTTATGTTTTTATATCTTTGTACAACTGGAACCATTAAACTACAGGTAAACGGATTTATTTTATGTTTTCGAACATGTGGGTATTATGAAAATTCTTGTCGGAAGACGTGCGGGCATGTGCGAAATTAGCCATACTACAAGTTTTTATAAGTTCGCGGTTTGAATACGTTAAAAAAGTTAGTTTATTAAATTTGGGCTGACGAGGAGCTGTGATCAGAGTAATAATTGCATCTGGGCTACGTCACCCGTGAGCCTCTAAAGCAAAAGAATTTGCGGTATACGTGACATCGAAATGGTAAGTAAATTTTATTTTATTTGTCAAATAATTAGAGGGGATTTCTGCTACGTGCTTTCATACTCTTTATACGCATACATTAAGTTTCGTCAGAGTATTTTTGTAGGATTAAAGTTTGCCTCGTGTATACTTTTTTTTTAAGTTATTGTTTAAGACAATACCTAATAGAACTTAAGGAAAATGGAAAAAGAATTCGATTTTTTGTTGAATTATAGATTTTTGTTTACGTTTTAAGCAAGTAACGTTCATATATTGTCAACTGTAATTCAAGATTCGTGTCCGTAATATTTCAACTGATATAAAAACGGCTAAACACTCACGTATATTCATCCGGTGGCGGCACCGACTAGTTTCGAGCCCATCGAGGGCCCTTCATCAGGGTGAGTGGTACTGGTATTATTTCGCGGACGCGGCGCGTCGCTCACTGCGCGCCTGCGCTCTTAGGGCGCTTCTTGTGGGAGCGGGGGGCGCGGGGTGCGCCAGCGTCGTCGACGATGTTGATACCAAAGCGTCAGTGGTGTTGTTGTTCAAGTTTCTAGGCGGTGCCGCCACCGGACGAGTATACGTGAATGTTTACCCGTTTTTATATCAGTTTGTTATAATGTCTCACGAAAGTTTGAATAATCCGTAATATTTCGTTCAATTAATTCTTAATTAGATTACTAAGTGCACCTTATAATTAAAGGACGGTGTGCTTTGCAACACCTAGCTGATAAAGTGACTGTCATCAAACACATGAGTTAGATTGTTTTTTTAAAAGAAGGGGGCAAACGAGCAGCGGGAATACCGAGATGTTCATCGTAGATGTTTGGAAATACCGGCGAGGACAGTCCAGATGTCTAATTGGTTCCAAAATGTAGATAACCTTTAGTAAATCTTCACTTAGAGTCGACAGCTAGGTCTTGAGTCTAGTCTTGGCGTAGGCCAGGTGTTACACCTGTGGCGAAGGGTTTCCGGTTAGGTTTATTAGGTATGAAAGATTTATGTGCTTAGCACCGTAATAATGTAATTGTCTTGATTATAATACGTTCATTATAATATTTTTAATCTTACGTATCTTACTAATATTAAAAATGTGAATGTATGGATGGATGGATTTGTTTGAAGGTATCTCCAGAATGGCTGCATGGATCTCATTCAAATTTGGCGTTGACGTAGAACATAGCCTGGGAGAATACATAGACTACTAATTAAGTTTTTTTTTAATTCCGTGTGGACGGAGTCGCTGGCGCTAGCTAGTATTAGAATTAATTACATTATATAGGTAGATTCAGGAAAGATTAGGTTTAACTTATCAATTGTTATGTATATTTTTCTTGTACATAATTATGAATACAATTATAGTCTATTGCATTGAATCTTTTTTGCTATTGAACCTTTAGATATTTATGTATATATATATATTTTTTTTTTTCTATGCAACTTTGAATGGATGTTGCAAATTAGATTTTATGATCTAATGATCCGATAGAAACATAAAACTCCTTGAAATATTAACTCTTTGTAAAGTTTTATTACTTTACTAGCTGTCAACCGCGACTCGATCCATGCGGAAAAAAAATAATTAGTAGCCTATGTTATCATCCAAACTATGTGTTACATCTATGCCAAATTTCACATGATCCATGCATTCTCGAGATACTTTCAAACAAACATCCATGCATTTAAACATTCGCATGATATTAGTAAGAAGTAAGATTTCTTTTAAAACATTATAGTAAAATGTCGTGAGTAAACAGATTTTATGCACGTATTAAAACTTGGGATATTTTGTATCTATGAAAAAACTATCATTATAATTTTTATGCACGAGTAAAAAACTTCGGCTCTTCGTACACATGGCAACGTTGAAACTAATATTGTATTTCCGATGCGAGAATTATGTTCGCGAATACATACAACATTGAAACATCAACGCGAATCATCTATTCGATCAGAAAAGGTTAAGCGCGTTTACTGATCGAATATATGATTCGCGATGATTCCCGGAGGCCCAGTTTAGTCCTCTTTCCCTTCCCACCCTTTTTCTTATAAGGAAAGGATGGGAAGTGGCATGGAAAGGGAAAATATTTTCTTTCTGTACATCCACTCCTCCGTCGATTAAAGGTATGGTCGAGGTCGAGGAAACGCGTATGCAATTGCGTATGTCTGTTGGCAAAAGTCACTTCGCTATTTCAGCGATTACAGGTGACCGCTCGCTCGTTTGCCACCTTATGATATAAAAAAAAGCGATGTCAACTGTCATACGTTAGCCATTTTACATATTCTGTAATTCCATAACCTAAAAGTTAATTAGTCTATGCTAAGTCTATAACACTTTTGTTTATTTAAAACTAGCTTCCAACCTTGACACCGCTTGCGTGGAATTAAAAAACACTTAGTAGACTATATGTTCTTCCAGGCGGTTTTTAAACCATTGCCAAGTTTCAGCGAGATTCATGCAGTCATTCTGGAGATATCTTCTAAAAAACATCCATCTATCCATCTATAAATCTTAACATTCGCATTTATAATATTAGTAAGATTACATTAATCATCGGTATTACGATCCAACAGATTATATAAATAATTGATTTTCAAATTTAAGCGAAGCGAATGCACTTTGTCTAACCCCCCTGACGCGTGAGAATCGCGTGACTTATCGAAGGTTATTGTCAGTTCTATACATTTCTGAACTTCGTTATGGAAACGCTTCGAAGCGAACGCACGTTGTCTAACCCAATTGGTGTACGCATCTCTATAACATTTTACTACGTAATTCAACTAAAATCACGGGATTTCGTAAATTTATATTGCCTTATGTGCTGAGGGCCTTAGATTAACTCACTTGAGGCAACTAATAGTTCACTGTGTCCTGACATTAATAGTCTTTGAATATTTTCCAGAGTAAAAAAATAAGTATTTGGGCAATTGCAAATAAAACCCGGTTTATTTTCAAATTACATTTATTTACGTAATTGAATTCATTTATTTTATTAATTCAATTAATTTAATTAACTATCAGATATGTATTTGGAAAAAAAAATTGCCATATCCCTTTTTTACGTGGACAACTCGTGCTGCTATATTTTTTCTTCAACTTGTCTTTATTTTTTTATCATCGTACAACCAAGTTGTGCATTCCGTGCAACCCTTTACGTCCTGCACCTGGTTTAGTTGTATCCGGCACACGTTACCATAATACTTATTCCTTTGTTTTATAACCAAAAACAACCCAATACTGTTATTTTAAAATATTAGTTTATGCCAATTGAAATTTTTCCATTAAAGAAATAAGTTTTTTATAATTATCTGCACTAGGTATTGCATTCGGAGGCAGTTCGTTTATTTTTCTTATTAAATTTTCGTGTTGTGTTTGTTTTTCATTTTCATATATTTCTTGTAATTTCAAAGTATCATATAGTTCTTGAATTTTTCGAACACAACTTTCATCCCAGTTACCGTAATTGTCTTGGAAGATTCTTCTTTGCTCTATGTTACACATTTCTAATGCCTTTACAGCCAACCAGGAGCATTTTCCTTTCTGTATATCCGTTGAAGATTTTAAATCAGATTCATTTGAGCTGTACAAATCCATAAGGTCATTCTAAAGGAGAAAAAAGACATTTTAACAGTGGCAAACGCCAACATCACGACCACACTGAAGATGGAGAGATGTGAGAGTAACTTCATGTTTCATCTAATGAGTCCGTGCGCATGCAAGTCGTATTCAAATGCTCTGAATACTGGTGTTAATACGATTTCTAATTAGATTATAAAGGGTGTTAATTATTACATACGTATTTTGACAATAAGGTCTTTTATAAATTCTAGCAAATACATTATATCTTCTACATGTTTTATATTATAATAGAATGTAAAAATTATGTCTTGGTTGTAATCGTAATCGTTGTCAGCTTACAATACGTCCCCACTGTGGGCCTCTGAGCCTACCCTAAGTAAGTAGTGACTAGGCCATAGTCAATCACGCTGGCCAAGTGCGGGTTGGCTGACTTAACACATATCTTTGAATTTCTTCTTAGATATGTGCAGGTTGCATCACGATGTTTTCCTTCACCGTAAGAACATCGGATGAATGAACATATGTAAATCAAAAGACAGATTGGTACATGGCGGGATTTGAACCCATGACCTGCAGATTGCAAGTGCTTAACCCTTGAACCAACGACGCTCTCTTGGTAATGTTTACCTCCAAATTATTATGATTACCTTTATCTGAACAAAAATTCCAATGTCATTACACACATCATGCACTTGCTGTTTTGCTTCTTTGCTGTCTTTGTTAGCCAAAATGAGAGCTAAAATTATAGGAGAGTGGATAGCGGGAAACGACGTTTTTAATTCGGCTATCTTTTTGAACTGGTCCATTGTAAAATTTTTATAGTTTTGTTTTTCCGACGTTAACATGTCGAGATGCTGTCCAACCGCTGACAAGAAATAAATCTGAAAATGAAATTAAATAAGTATAACTCACTTGTACCAGACAAGAGGGGTAAATTTCAAGGCCACTTAAATATCAAATTAATAAAAAAATTCAATGCAAAAACTCTGAGGTAATTATCGGAACACGCTACCAAAAATTAATTACTATATTAGCATTAGTTTGGGAATCCGTAGAGGTCAAACACATAATTTGATTTTTGTTTACAATGATTATTTGCATACTAGTTGTCGCCCGCGCGGAATTTACAAAAAATTTATTATTAGCCTATGTGTTCTTCCAGGCTATGTTCTATATTTATGCCAAATTTCAGTGAGATCCGTGTACAGTCTAGAGATTCTCAAATATTTGGATTCCCTTACAAAATTTAACTTATTTTCATAAATCCATTCCTACTAGATGTCCTCTTCAGCTTGCGGAACCTTGACTATAGTACACGCCTCTGCTTTAAATTACAAGGTATCTCTAGAAGGTGTCCGGGAATGACGTGTACAAATACCAAGATTCCTTGGTCTATATGGGTTAAATCGTCATATTTTCGACTAAGGAATCTGTTACTCCGTCATTCCCGGACATCCTGTATAGTGACAATATCGTTTAACAAAACGACATAGTAGAATTTAATTTAATTACCTGATTAACGTATGCGATAATTTTAGAGCCTTCAGTTTGTGGGAAATTCAGTAGTAATAACTCATATATAAAACTTCTCAGCATACAGGTGTCGTTGCAGACTGATGATCCAGCATCTGGCAGCAGATGCCAGCACTGCTTGCCTCTACGTATCTTGCTATCGTCCTCCATATCGTCAATAATTAAGAAGTAACAACTACACTGTTGAAGAAAATCATTTAAAAAAATATTTCGTATGATGTAGTCGGTGGCTCAAAGGTGAGCTTGATTTGTAATCTGCAGGTCATGGTTTCGAATCCTGCCATGTACCAATGTGTTTTTCGAACTAATTGACATATGTACATTTATCCGACATTCTTACGGTGAAGGAAAACATCTTAATGCAACCTGCACATATCTGAGAAGAAATTCAATGATATGTGTGAAGTCAACAAAGTTAAAAGGCGTGGTTGACTATGGCCTAGTCACCGTTAACTTAGGATAGGCTCCCCGCCCCTCAGTGGGGACGATGACGGACTGATGATGACGAAGATGACATGATGTAGAGCCGAAAGATACTTATATTATTATTACTAATTCCTAAAATTAACTCTTAATCATGTCTCACTAATTACTTTTATAAAAGTCTTTTAAGTATCAGTTTAGTAGTAAGTAAGTAAGTTAAGTATTAGTTTTAGTGGTAGATGCCAGCAAAAACAACATCTGTTGCGCGAATGGTCCGGTTTTATTATTACAACACTACGACCACGAAGAAGACAGGACTCGATGCAATTCCGCGTTTCGTCTCATGAATGCGCGTGCCCCAGGCCTAATTTTAGAATCTGTTTGCCTTCTTATCCTCTTATATGGAAAGGATGGGAAGGGAAAGTGGATTTGAACGTGATGGTGTCAAGGAAGGAGAAATGTTAAAAAAAGTGGCAGTGGGACTTTACCATTTCCATTACGCAGGCCAATGTATATGCTTGACGTTTCTTTACTTCGTTATAATTATTTGGCTCTTCGAGCATTTCATACGCAATGAGAAAAAGTTCAGCTAAAATTGGTTTCTCTACAAGCGCATAGTAGCCAGCCATCTAAAATTTAAAAAAAATCTTTTAAATTTAACATGCGAAATATCGAAGACTAGCTGTCGCCCGCGACTACGAACGCGCGTAATTAAAAGAAACTATTAGTTGCAGCGTAATGTTCTATAGCTTAAAGCCTTCCTCTATAAATAAAATATCTAACAAAAGAAGAATTTTTCAAATCGGATCAGTTGTTCCTGAGATTAGCTCGTTTGAACAAACTCTTCTGCTTTATATTATTATTATAGATTTGGTAGTATACATACCTTTTTAATCCGATTCTTAATTTCAATAGAATGTAAATAAGGAATTCTTGCTAAAGCTTCGTCGACAACCTCATTGAATATTTTGTGATAGTTAGCTACAAACTCTTTCGATAGTGACGAAAAACAATGATTTTCTTTGGTCCTGAAATTACAAAAAAATATTAAAAGTGATTTATTTGCTATTAGTTTTTGTGTTGTACCTCTCTGTTTTGGCGACCTCTCGATCTTTCGTAGTTTCATCACAAATACCCTATTTACATAGAATTCGCATTTATACAATGACCTCCGTTGGCTCTATACCATCACATAGAAGTTATTGCGAAATTCGCAGCGAAATAGATATCCCATTTATAACCAACTAACTGTCGCCTGCGAGTCTGTCCGCGCGTAATAATAAAAAAACACAATAAATAGCCTACGTGTTCTTCCAGACTACGTTTATATGTTTGCCAACTTTTATCGAGATTCGTTCAACTGTTCTGGAGATACCTTCATATAAACATTCATCCGTCTGTTACTGTGATTTTCGACTTCTAATTCTAACAATACATACAGATATTTGCCTCTGTTTTATCACTAGCCCGCTACCATATCAATGCAGAATTAAAAAAGTGGCCTATAATGTGCCTGCGTACATAACTACCTTCCCGTTCAAAATACATCAAAATCAACCCAGCCCTACTGGAGATTGAAACTCGTCCTTGCGGACATACAGACAAGAATTAAAAAATATGGTTGTTCCCAAATATAGGTTTACACTACAATTTTATAAATATGTATAGAATTTGATGTCAATATGTATTACTAGCTGTCGCCCGTGACTCCGTTCGCGCGAAATAAAAATATACATAATTAGTAGGCTTTGTGTTCCTCCGGACTTCCTTCCATTTAAATATTCAGATTAAAAATAATCATGTACTTATCCATTTATTAACCTTATTCTTAATATAATATATTTTAGATATAAAAATATTATTATATTAAGATTATAAATTTTGCGTAATTTTAGGGCTACACTTACCGATTGTTTAGTATATTACTTTTTGACATGTTGTTTATTTTTTTTAACTTATATGGAAACCACTTCTGTTCACACTCCACAATCAACGACAGCGCAAGCTGTTAAAACTGAAGTAATATATGAATAGAACGCAAAATTCGAATCCTACGCCCTACCAAATGCATAAATTATGTTACTGTAAAATTTCGGAATACGGTTAATTCTAATAAATCCGGTAAAAATTTTTATAACGTATATGGAAAATTGTAACACCATTTATACATGTTATATATGGTGTATAAAATTATGAGATATTTATTTGTTTCGGGTATTTCATCATCATCATAATCAGTCTAAATTTATCCACTGCTGGACGAAGGCCTCCCCCATGGATTGTCACAATGCCCGGTCATGTACCGCCCGCATCCAGTGCACTCCCGCAACCTTTTCTTTTTTTTCCAGAGAGGAATTCTTTATGCATGCTCCGCGCCCCTGGGGGGGGGGGG